AGTGCAATGGTGCGATCTCAGCTCACCGCAACCTCCGCCTCCTGGGTTCAGGCAATTCTCCTGCCTCAGCCTCCTGAGTAGCTGGGATTACAGGCACACGCCACCATGCCCAGCTACTTTTTTGTATTTTTAGTAGAGACGGGGTTTCACCATGTTGACCAGGATGGTCTCGATCTCTTGACCTTGTGATCCACCCGCCTCGGCCTCCCAAAGTGCTGGGATTACAGGCTTGAGCCACCGCGCCGGCGAGGTGGCATTATTGAGCCTTCCCTCCACCAGCTCGCCCAGAAATACAACTGCGACAAGATGATCTGCCGCAGGTGCTATGCTCGCCTGCACCCTGTGCTGTCAACTGCCGCAAGAAGTGTGGCCACACCAACAACCTGCGCCCAAGAAGAAGGTCAAATGAGGCCCTTCCTTCCTTGAAGGGCAGCCTCCTGCCCAGGCCTCTGGAGCCTCAATAAAAGTGTCCCTTTCGTTGACTGGAGCAGCAAAAAAAAAAAAAAAAAAAAAAAAGTAACTCAGGGCCGGGCGTGGAGGTTCCGGCCTGTAATCCCAGCACTTTGGGAGGCCAAGGCGGGTAGACCATGAGGTTGGGAGTTTGAGACTAGCCTGGCCAGCATAGTGAAACCCCGTCTCTACTAAAAATACAAAAATTTGCCGAACATTGTGGCAGGTGCCTGTAATCCCAGCTACTTGGGAAGCTGAGGCAGGAGAATCGCTTGAACCCAGGAGGCAGAGGTTGCCGTAAGCCAGTATCACACCATTGCACTCCAGCCTTGACAACACAGCAAGACTCTGTCTCAAAAATAATAATAATTCAGGGGCTGGGCGCGGTGGCTCAAGCCTGTAATCCCAGCACTTTGGGAGGCTGAGGCGGGTGAATCACGAGGTCAAGAGATCGAGACCATCCTGGTCAACATGGTGAAACCCCATCTCTACTAAAAATACAAAAAGTTAGCTGGGCTTGGTGGTGCGTGCCTGTAATCCCAGCTACTCAGGAGGCTGAGGCAGGAGAATTGCCTGAACCCAGGAAGCGGAGGTTGCGATGAGCCAAGATCATGCCATTGCGCTCCAGTCTGGGTAACAAGAGCGAAACTCCGTCTCTAAATAAATAAATAAATAAATAAAATAATAATAATTCAGCATGCTGCTTAATACTAGATCAATATGTGGAATAAATTATAATTCTTCATATCAGTAATAGATAAGAATGTAAAACTAGCCTTTACAACACCAACAGAAAATACAAAATGCTAGGGAATAATTCTAATAAAGAGGAGACTGACCAATGTGGAAAATATAGAACGCTTTATTGAAATATGCTCAAAGACATAAGTAAATGGAGACATACTATTTTTATGAATAGGAAGACTCAAAAAAATATCTGTTCTTTCAAAATCTATAAATTCTATATAAGTCCAATAAAAATACTAACGGGCTTTTTCCTGGAACCTGATGGTTGAATAAACAATTTATATGCCTGGCGAGGTGGCTCACACCTGTAATCCTAGCACATTGGGAGGCCGAAGTGGGTGGATCACCTGAGGCCGGCAGTTCGAGACCAGCCTGACCAACATAGTAAAACCCTGTCTCTACTAAAAATACAAAAAATTAGCTGGGCGTGGTGGTGGATTCCTGTAATCCCCCCTACTTGAGAGACTGAGGCAGGAGAATCACTTGAACCCAGGAGGCAGAGGTTGCAGTGAGCTGAGATGGCGCTATTGCACTCCAGCCTCGGCAACGAGCAAAACTACCTCAAAAAAAAAAAAAAGAAATTTATATGGAAGAGTAAAAGAAGAAAAGTCAAAATGATTTTCATGGATAAGAGAGCAGGAAGAATTGTCTTACAAATGGTCAAGAAACAGTAAGCAAGCCAGTGTGGCACCAGCACGGGAATATACAAACAGATAAGGATAGGAGACTGGAGAACCCAGTAACAGCCCCCCATATATGACAATATGTGACAGCAGTGACATCATAATCGGTGGGGTAAGGATGGACTCGTAAATGATGGTTATTCTCAAACAAGAAATCTAGGTGGATTAAAGACCTAAATATGAAAAGAAATGTAGAAGAAAATACAGATGTAGGGGGGGGGAATTCCTGAGTAAAACACGAAAAACACAGACTACAAAGTAACAGGTAAAATACTATTTTAGGCTGAGGATGGTGGTTCATACCTGTAATTCCAGCACTTTGGGAGGCTGAGGCAGGTGGATCACCTGAGTTCAAAACCAGCCTGGCCAGTATGGTAAAACCCCGTCTCTACTAAAAATGCAATAATTAGCTGGGTGTGGTGGCACACAGCTGTAATCCCAGCTACTTGGGAGGCTGAGGCAGGAGAATCGCTTGAACCTGGGAGGCAGAGGTTGCAGTGAGCTAAGATCCTGCCACTGCACTCCAGCCTGGGCAACTAACAGAGCAAGATTCTGTCTCAAAAAAAAAAAAATTTTTAAGTGGAAAAAAACACAAACTTCTACAATAGATAAAATTGTCATGCTTTTTTTTTTTTAGACAGTCTTGCTCTGTCACCAGGCACCAGGCTGCACCAGGCTTGCACCAGTGGCGCAATCTCGGCTCACTGCAATCTCTGCCTCCTGTGTTCAAGCAATTCTGCCTCAGCCTCCTGTGTCATGCCTTTTTTTATTCCGAAGACAGTCTTGCTGTGTCATCCAGGGTGGAGAGTACAGTGGTGCAATCACAACACTCACTGCAGCCTTGGCCTTCTGGGCTCAAGCAGCATTCCTACCTCAGCCTTCCAAGTAGCCTGGATTACAGGCATATGCCGTGACACCTGGCTTATTTTTTAAAAAATTTTTTGGGCTGGGTGCGGTGGCTCATGCCTGTAATCCCAGCACTTTGGGAGGCCAAGGTGATGGATCACTTGAGGTCAGGAGTTCAAGACCAGCCTCGCCAACATGGCAAAACCCCATCTCTACTAAAAATACAGAAACAAAACAAAACAAAACAAAAACTACCTGGGCATGGTGGCGGGCACCTGTAATTCCAGCTACTCAGGAGGCTGAAGCAGGAGAATTGCTGGAACCCAGCAGGTGGAGGTTGCATTAAGCCAAGATGGCACCACTGCACTCCAGCCTGGGTGACAGAGCGAGACTCCATCTCAGAAAAAATAAAAATAAAAATAAATAATTTCGTAGAGATGGACTTTTACTACATTGGTCTTGAACTCCTGGTCTCAAGTGTTCCTCCTGTCTTGGCCTCCCCAAGTGCTGGGATTTCAGGTGTGAACCACCATGCCTGGCCTATTGTCATACTTTTTAAAAACTTAATAATTGGCCAGGCAAGGTGGCTTACGTCTGTAATCCCAGCACTTTGGGAGGCCGAGGCGGGTGGATCACCCAAGGTCACAAGTTCAAGGCCAGCCTGACCAACATGGTGAAACCCCATCTCTACTAAAAATACAAAAAATTAGCCGAGCATGGTGGTGGGTGCCTATAATCCCAGCTACTTAGGAGGCTGAGGTAGGAGAATCACTTGAACCCAGGAGGCAGAGGTTGCAGTGAGCCAAGATTGCATCCTTGTACTCCACCCGGGGCAAGAAGAGCAAAAATTTGTCTCAAAAAAACAACGAAACAACAACAACAACAATAAAAAAACTACAATTTGGAGAAGCATACTTAAATATTTAGGAATAAAATAATTTCTGAGATTTGCTTCAAATGATCTGGGGGAATGAGGAACATGGGTAGAGTATTGTTGATAAAATATTAGGTGAGAGTTGGTCATTGCTGAAGCTACCTGACGGGCACATAGGGATTCATCAAACTTACCTGTCAGTATATGCTTGATATATATGTATTTTTTTCATAAAAATGATGTAAAGGGGAAAAAATAACAATAGGTTACCAGTTTTCACCCACCAGATTAGCAAACATTTAAAAATCTGATAATTCTAAGTGTTAGCAAGAACATGAAAAGTGGGAGCTCTTAAACACAAATGGTAGGAACATAAATTGGTACAGCCAATTTGGAAGAAACTTTGGCATCTTCTAGAAAAACAGTATGTATATTCTTTACTACCCAAAAGTATATTTATTACACAGCAGGATTTTTTGTTTGTTTTTTAGTTGGAGTCTTGCTCTATCACCCAGGCTGGAGTGTAGAGGTTCAACATTTTAGCTCACTGCAACCTCTGCCTCCCAGGTTCAAGTAATTCTCCTGCCTCAGCCTCCCAAGTAGCTGGGATTACAGGCGTGCACCACCAGGCCTGGCTGATTTTTATATTTTTAGTAGAGGGTTTCACCATGTTGACCAGGCCAGTCTCGAACTCCTGACCTCCAGTGATCCACCCATCTCGGCCTCCCAAAGTGCTGGGATTATAGGCATGAGCCACCACACCTGGTCCCAGCAGGATTTTCTAGGCTAAATCCTGGAAATCTTGCACGTGGAAATGTCCAAAAAAGTTCAGAGGCTCATTGCTTTTAATAGCAAAAACCTAGGAACAACAAATAGGCATTTGAAGAAGAATGTGTGACTAAATGGTGGCATATTTACATCGTGGGATGGAAGTGGATTACTAATCACTGGTGTGTCATGCATTCGCATGGATAAATCTCACATTTGGTGAATAAGGAGAGGAATCTGCAGAATACAAACATTGTAATGCTGTTTACATAAAATACAAAACCATGTAAAACTAAACGATACGCTGGTGGGGATGCATATGTATGTAGTAAATGCAAAGAGAAAAGCTAAAAGCAGGAAGTTCAAGATTCAAAATACTGGTTATGTATGGTGGGGGAAGAGGGGACTGCTATTCAGGGCACAAAGGGACCACTATAGGAATAATAAGGTTTTGCTGCTTAAACTGGGTGGTAGGCACGTGAGTGGACATATTATTTGTTAGTCCTTTTGTGAATAATATAATTTAAAAAATAATTTTTCTAGAGCTAGAGATTAAAAAAATAACTTTTTTCAGCAAAAGAGGGGTCATGATAGGGAGAAGTGAGAGAGGGGGCACAAAAGTACACAGTGAGGGAAATAATGAAATTCATTTCAGTTCAACAACAAACTTACGGAGAACGGATGAATGAAACCTTGCCCATCCTATAAGGAACACAGTCATCTGTCAGAAGAAAAATGTTGATTCCTCCCAGTCCAAAGGTGAAGATGGTGACTGAAGTATCGGCTTTAGCCAGACCCCTGATGAAGCTCCCAGATGTCACAGCATCCATGGGCTTGTGATCTCAGGTGAAGGTGTTGAGCCCTGGCTTCCCATCTCTTCACTTGTTCCCTCCAGCCCGCCATCCCCATATTCAAAATGGCTTCTAGATTTGTGTCTTTAAAGGCACTTAGGCAATAAATAAAAAGTACAGTGCAGTGCTCACTGCATCTTTCCCACAGGTTTCTGAAGTGAATCGATGTCTCTGGGAAGAGGAAGAGTAGTGTGAGTATGAAGGACTAGATTCCTGTTGCTTTCTCCTGACACCCATGCCAGGGTTTCCCCAGGCAACTGGGAAGATCATCCACGGTGAGGCCTAAAATCTAGGCTTCCTGCTGATCAGTCAGGTGAGTCACCTCTTTTGGAGCGATATCAGTGTACGCCAGTGCCCAGTTCCAGGGCACTGGATATCAAGAGTGTGCCAGCCTTCCTGTCCAGTTAGGCAGGAGGCCAGCCCTGCTGGCCATCATTGATCAGCACCACCTCCTACCATCTTCAATTTCTGGCTTCCTCATGGCCTTCTTGGGGAGTCCCCAGCTTCCTCATGGCTTTCCTAGGGGGAGCCCCCAGCTTCACGGCCTTCCTGGGGGAGTCCCCAACCTCTCCCTGGTCTTCTTAAGGAGCCCACAGTAGTGGAAGCCTGATGGGTGCTCTGATCCCAGGGTCACGGGCGTAGTGCTGCAGACTCGCTCCCTGTACATCTTGTCACATCTATGGGAATCCGAGGCCCTGTTTGGGTTTTCTGTTTCCAGCTTACTCCAATTTCCGGGGCCCCGTGATATAAAAGTGTCAACTGAGTGTCTGCAGATCTGAAAGAGACCAATCAGAGGGTTGTCACCCTTCCCAAACCCAGCATCTCTGTTTTTCCCAATAGGTCCTGCCTCTTACAACTTTTTATCTATTACCAGACTTCCAAATCTACTGCAATAGCATACCCGCCCCCCCCCCCCCCGGAAACACTTAAATGCACTTCTTTCCTATTATTCTGCATCATTTTGCCTTACTAAACCAGTGCCCCTCCTGGCACCTTCCCAGCTCTTGGTGGACATCTCAAACCTGATCTCAGAGAAACCTAATGTTGTTACTATTACTACTACTAGCCAATACTTATTGAGGACCTCATATGTGCTAGGCTCTTCCTGTTATGAATACATATGCTAGGCTATGTTCTGAACCCTTAATTTATATACTGTTCTCATTTCATAGCAATGGAAACCTGGTGGTCAGTGAGGAAACCAAGGCACAGGGGGGTAAGTAACTTGCCCAGGTTACCTTTTATGGGTTAATAAGTGCAGGACCCAAGATACAAACCCAGACAGCCTTTTCCAGAGGCTGCACTTTGAACTACTAGGCTACAGGGCTGTCTCCTAAAAGCCAAAGTAGATCAGAGACTGTAGCCGAATCCCATTCCCCTTCTCCCTCCTGTAGTAGCTTACAACGCATGACAGCTTCTTTGACTTGGTGAAAGCCACCATCAGGGCCCCTGCCATCCACATAGTACATGAATCGGAGCTCAGGTGGGTAGGCAGCTCTGCTGAGGCCCGACAGCAGAGGGATGGTTCGGCCCTCGGCCCCTGGGGCATCAGTTAGGGCCTGCAGCATCTGGTACTTGCACCAGGGGTCCTGAAGGAAGCCTGGGGTGATGAGCAGCACGCGGCAGTGACTACTGCTCAGTGCCTGGCACAGTTCGGACACGATGGCGCCACCTGGGGTTGCATCCCGGAACTGCAGGAAGCAGCGCAGGCTGGCAGTGCTGCCTTCCAGGTAGGAGACCAGGTCCTGGGCGGCCACCAGGTCTTCTTCACTGTGGCACACACAGACGTCATAGTCTTTGCTCCAGCGAATACTACTGCTGTCACTCTCTTGCGAGGGTGGCAGGCTGGGAGATGTGACTGAGCTGTGGCTTGGGGGTACGGGGCTGTTCTGTGAGGTAGGCTGTGAAGCATCGCTGGGCACACTTTCTGAGGAGTCGGGCATCTTCTTGGGCTTCTTCAGCAGAGTCTGCCTGAACCAGTCTGTAGGGGAGAAACACTGCTCAGGCCTGTGTCTTCTTACCAGGTGTCCTCTCACTGCCCACACAGGGAGGAGCCCCACCTCGCAGGGAGGATGGACAGACTGCAGCTCACCTCCCTGCACTGGGAAACATCTTATTCTCAGACACCTGTTGCTCTGTGATTTTTGTATATCCTTCGGGACTTGCCTAAAAGTGCCCTCTAAAGGTAAAGGTTTTGGACGCACGTCAGAACTTTGGAACCCTTGTGTGGGAGTGTTCCACCAGCCTGGTTAAGAGAATTGGCTTTGTACTGCTCCCGGGCCCTTTGAAATCTGATACTCCCAGCCCACCTTAAGCAGAACTTCCCACCAGAGCTGACTAGTCAACCACCCGGGAGTCTGCAGGTACAGCGATGTTACGCTAGCAAAGATATCATCAGTCCCAAAGCCCACTTCCAGCACTGAGGGGAGGTGAATTTAGATTAGGAAGGGCTACCTGTATGGGAAGGAAGGGGTACGAAGGATTGGCATCTGTTTGGCCCCAAGAAATCCTAGATTCTTGCTAAACGGGGAAGAGGCTACTGCTCAGAGCTGCTGAGGAGCAGAGAGCTTCGCGATTCAGAACCCACACTCCGGAGTCAGGGACATGGCTTTGACTGTGGATCTGTGGCTCACTTTCTGTATGGCCTTCAGCAAATTAGTCTATGTCTTCATTTGCTCATCTGTATAATGGGTTTGTCTTAGTTGGTGAAAGTTAACTGAGATAATGCAGTGTTGGGTATATTGCAGGGACTCCATAAGGAGATGAAAACTCAGCTTCCCCAGCCGCTGATAAGGACAGATGGTTGTGGTGGGGATTGATTCATTTTCTCTCTCTGCTTGGCTTCTTGGTCTAAATGGTTCTGGGACAAAGATTTAGACGACGAGAGACACAGTGTTAAGCACTCAGCACAATGGCTTCCAGGCTAGGAGAGTTAGCTGAGCAGGTCTGGAAAACCTTTGAGCCAAAAGGCTAAAGATCTAGCTGAGCTGACGCAGGTCTCCCCTCCTCACTCTCTACAAAGTGTCCAGGCCCTGAAGTCAAGTCGGGAGATCCCCTCAGCCTTCCTGCATCTCTCTGAGTTTGGACCGAGCAGGCCTCCCACCTCGCCGATGGAGACTGAGCGCTCCACTCAGGAACACAGCAGTCAAAAGTCCGGTTCCACTCACCAGCCATCTTGCCTAGAGGCTTCTTAGGCCGCGAGCCAGGAGCTGGGAGGGAGGGCGATGATGCCATAGCGTGGGGCTCACAACTAGCCCCCTGAGACCAGGCATTGGTAAAGGGGGAGGAGGGAGGAAACCCAGTCTTGACCTCATGGAGCCGCCATCCTATAGAGGGCAGAGAGAAAGAATCACAAAGGCTGCACTTACCCTGCTCTCATTCCCCAGGGATGAGCTCTGGGAAGTTCTGCTTCTCTCCTAATGCCTGAATAGAGGCTTCCTCTCTAAATGGGTCCTTCATTCCTCGTGAGATGAGGGACAGACACGACTGTGATTGGAGCTGGGTTCTAGATAAAGCCAGAGCCATGTAGTGGGGTCAGACTTACAGGGTATGAGCTCAGCATGACCAGCTGAGGGGCTGTTCTCTGCTCCGCCTGGCCAGGAGGATATTTGGGACCTGGGGAAGGGCAGCTGGCAGGCAGCTCTTTAGAAAGCCTTCCTGTGTAAGGCCTGAAAATGGCAGAAGGAGGACAGTTGCTATTTGGACAAATAATTATGTATACAGATAGAAGCTTAACAGTAGAGAGAACATATAGGAAACCTTGGGAGACTTCTCCTCCAAGTCTGCGTCCCGCCGAATAACTCCATCCATAGACCCATTGCTCCTGCAGCCCTCAGCTCAGGAAGGTCGTGTCTCAAGGTGGTGAAGACTGCAGACTCTGCAGGCAGAGTGCCTGATCCTCACCTCTTCTTAACCGTGGCCTCTGGCCATCTTGCTAAGCTACAATTTCTCCATCCACGAAATGGAAATACTAGAGCCTCTTTTTCAACATTATTGTGAAGATTGAATGAAATAATTTATGTAAAGTCCTAATGGTGCCCGGCATGTAACAAATGCTCAGAAAATGTGGACTACTATGTGCATAAAATAATCTAGATATTGCAGGGATATATTATGTTCATGGTTTATAAGACTTGATATTGTAACGTTAATGTTCCCCAAACTGATCATTCAGTGCTGTTCCAAAGTCTAGAAGATTTTTGTTTTTTAGGTTTTTTGGTAGGGAGGTGGTCAGACTGCTTCTAAATTTATATGGACATACGAAGGCCCAAGAATCCCTTAGAAAGGCAACCTGCCATGATCTCTTCCCACCATGGTGACAGAGGCTGTCCCTGATGGTGGACACGCTTTCAGCCTCAAGTCTCTATGAAGCAGAGCCTGTGGGGGCTGTAATATTCTAGTGACACTTCTCTCGGGAAAGGCTGGCAGAGCAACTGGCACAGGGCTGCTTTCTCACTCTTTGGTGGACCTGTGAGATCAAAACAAACCTGAGAACTCACGGAAACAAGTATTATTAGACACACTGAAATAAAGGGTTTCAAAATTGAAAGAATGTGGCTGGGCACAGTGGCTCATGCCTGTAATCCCAGCACTTTGGGAGGCCGAGGCGGTGGATCACCTGAGATCAGGAATTCAAGCCCAGTCTGGCCAACATGGCATAATGCTGTCTCTACTAAAAACACAAACATTAGCTGGGCCTGGTGGCGGGTGCCTATAATCCCAGGTACTTGGGAGGCTGAGGCAGGAGAATCTCTTGAACCTGGAGGCGGAGGATGCAGTAAGCTGAGACTGCACCACTGCACTCCAGCCTGGGCAACAAGCACAAAACTCCGTCTCAAAAAATTTATATAAAGAATGTCATTCTATGCTGCACGTTAATGCTTTGTTCACTGATGCTAAACACCAGTATGCCACGCTAATGAGTAGAAGACCAGGGATGCTAAGGATTTGTGAACAAGTATCAAAGTTCAAAAAGTAGAACTTAACCCATAGCAGAACAAGGAGGCAGAACAAAGAGTTGGAATGGGCACAAGAACCAGAGAAGACATTTGAAAAAGCAACACAACTAAATGTGAAGCCACCAAAAAGACACGGGAAGTTAGTTGACTCTGAGTATGTATATGAGTTTCTTTTCTTTGCTTATGTGCTTGGGATTTCAGACAGCCTAAGTGGGAGGCTGCAGCCAGAACAGGGCTTTCTACAGTGTTGTTTGAAATCATCTTCCTGGTCAGGCCTTGCTGTCTCCCTACATCTTCATTTCAGCCATTCAAGATGCCTTTTTGGGCTGGGCGCGGTGGCTCACACCTGTAATCCCAGCAGTTTGGGAGACCAAGGTGGGCAGATCACGAGGTCAGGAGTTCGAGACCAGCCTGACCAACATGGTGAAACCCTGTCTCTATGAAAAATACAAAAATTTGCCAAGCATAGTGGTACACGCCTGTAATCCCAGATACTCAGGAGGCTGAGGCAGGAGAATCGCTTGAACCCGGGAGGCGGAGGTTGTACCCCAGCTTTGGCAACAGAGCAAGACTCCATCTCAAAAAAAAAAAAAAAAAAAAAAGGCTTTTTGCTCCCTAGTGGTAAACATAATGTCACTTGGTTTTGAATTATTTAAATATTTTTTCAATTTTGTTGTAATTTTAATATTCATTATTTGGTCTTGGTACACTTATAAACTAGAGCACATTTTGATTTTTAAATATTCTAAAGGTTAAAAATTAATATGTTAATGTACTTAATATATGTAGATTTAAAAGTTTTAGTTTCTCATTTTCTGAAATGACTTGCCCCTTTGGCAACACATGCTGATTTGGGGAGCTTGCTTTTCCATTGCTTGGTTAAGAACAGTGGTCCAGCAGTATATGCCACTAGAAGTGGGGTGATATAAGCCCTCATGAGAAATATTATGGAAACGTTTAAAGAGAAAAACAAGAGCACCTTTGACAGGCTAATTGAGCAAGATGGCAGGCAAATTCCAGTAACCATAAACACTGCATACTTCCTGGAATCCAAGACGCCATGCGCCTTACTTGTTCCTTTTCAGTTCTTTTATAGCTGGGGCTGTGGAACTGCCACACATTCAAACACGTGTTAATCGTTCCAAGAGTTGGCAACTGTCATCGTATCTTGAGATGTGGTTGACAAGCAGGTAAGGTAATGAACCCAAGTCTTCAACTGGAAGCTGTACTCACTAGCTCTGCCTATTCTCTGATTTGCTGTGTGGTTACTTTTTTTGTGCTTTGAAAAAATTCATAAAGTAGAATCTTACCAAAAATACCCACTTTGTAAGAACAAAGACTTGAAAGAAAATTAGTAAAGAGGCTGGGTGCTGTGGCTCATGCCTGTAATCTCAGGACTTTGGGAGGCCGAGATTGGCAGATCATTTGAGCTCAGGAGTTCCAGAGCAGTCTGGCCAATATGTCGAAACCCTGTTTCTACCAAAAATACGAAAATTAGCCAGACGTAGTGGTGCTCGCCTGTAATCCCAGCACTGTGGGAGGCTGAAGCAGGCAGATCATTTGAGGTTAGGAGTTCAAGACCAGCCTGGCTGACACATCAAAACCCCATCTCTATTAAAAATACAAAAATTAGCTGGGCATGGTATTGCACACCTGTAATCCTAGCTACTCAGGTGGCTAAGCCAGGAGAATCCTTTGAACCTGGGACATCATGCCACTGCACTCCAGCCTGGGTGACACAGTGAGACCTGGTTTCAAGAAAATAAAGTTAGTAAAGAATTGCTTCAGAAAAGCAGTAGCACAATACCTTTAGTGCTTTCTAGAATGCTTTTACAATATTATGTGCAGAAATTCATGTAAAGCAAATATTACGGAGTTTTGCTGTATAAAATCCAAAGTGGTCTGGTACAATGGTTCACACCTATAATTCCAGCACTTTGGGAGGCTGAGGCGGGTGGATCACAAGGTCTGGAGTTTGAGACCTGCCTGGCCAACATGGTGAAACCCTGTCTGTACTAAAAATACAAAAATTAGCTAGGTTTGGTGGTGCACACCTAATCCCAGCTCCTTGGGAGGCTAAGGCAGGAGAATCGCTTGAATCCAGGAGATAGAGGTTGCAGTGAGCCTAGATCGTGCCATTGCACTCCAGCCTGGAAGACAGGGCAAGACTCAGTCTAAAAAAAAAAAAAAAAGTCCAAAGTGTATATAATATCCAATATCAAACTGGTCTCCAATTTCTATTATATAGGGAAATGTATTGAAGCCTGTGAAGGCATATGATTAGAATATGTATCTCTTAGAGTTCCTATTTGATTTCTGTTAAGCAGGAATCATTATCTGTGATAGGCAGAAAAGTGGCCCCCAAAGAGGCCCACATCCTAATTCCTGGAACTGAGAATATGTTACTTCCATGACAAAAGGAGATTTTGTAGCTGTGATTAAGTTAAGGACCTTGAGATGGGGAGGTATTCCTGGCTTACCCAGGTGACCCAAATGTAACCAAAAAGATCCTTTCAACAGGGAGGCAGGAAGGTCTGAGGTAGATGAAGGAGCTGTGCCAATGGAAGCAGGGGCCAGTGGGGTGCAGGTGGCCTCCGGACGCTGGAAAAAGGACATCCATGGGTTCTTCCCTGGAGCCTCCAGAAGAAACGCGGCCTTGCTGATCCATCTGAGAATGGTAGCATAATCCATGTGTGTTGTTTGAGGTCACTAAGTTTGTGGCAATTTGTTGCAGCAGGAGTAGGAAACTACTACACCATCTCTGGTCAGATCAGGCCAAAGAATGGAGAAGATACTGGATTTCAGTTGAGTGCTAAAAACTGGTCTGTTTAAAGGTTTAAATTGTTTGAAACAGTTTTTACATCTTTAAATAAATTACCATCTACAGTTCACCTGACTTTGACTTTATATTTAAAAGAATTTTGGTTTCAAAGCCTGTTTTGTTCTCAAACACTTGCTAAAACATTTGGGTAGGAAACATTACGATTTGCAGGACAATGTCACTTAAAGTGCTGAATATAATTCATTTATAGCTTGATAGACACAATACAGCGTTCTCAAAAAGGTTTGTAGACTATGGTGCAGAGCTAGGGTGGCCTGCTGTGTTCACACCTGGGACTGTGGGAAGGACCCATGACATTCTTCTTTTTTTTCAGACAGACTCTCACTCCATTACCTAGGCAGGAGTGCAGTGGCATAATCTCAGCTCATTGCAACCTCTGTCTCCCGGGTTCAAGTGATTCTCGTGCCTCAGCCTCCTGAGTAGCTGGGACTACAGGTGCTTGCCACCACACACAGCTGATTTTTGTATTTTTAGTAGAGACGGGGTTTCACCATGTTGGCCAGGCTGCTCTGGAACTCATGATCTCAGGTGATTGGCCTGCCTCAATCTCCCAAAGTGCTGGGATTACATACAGGCATAAGCCACCGCACCTGACATTTTTTTTTTTTTTTAAACAGCATCTTGCTCTGTCACCAGGTTGGAGTGCAGTGGCGTGATTCCAGCTCTCTGCAGCCTTGACCTCCTGGGCTCAAGCAGTCCTTCTATCTCAACCTCGAGTAGCTGCGACTACAGACGTGAGTCACCACACCTAATTTTGTTGTTGGTGGTGGTGGTGGTGGTAGAGACAGGATCTTGCTTTGTTGGCCAGGCTGATCAATAACTGCTGGCCTCAAGTGATCCGCCCACCTCAGCCTCCCAAAGTGCTGGGATTACAGGCATGAGCCATTGTGCCCGACTTTAATTTTACTTTTATCTGAGTCTTCTTGCTAAGGAAGATTTTTTTAAAAAACCAGACTCAAATAATACAAGGGGAAAAATGATAAAATAAAAAACATTAAAATGAAGAACTTCTGTTCATCAAAAGATATAAATAGGAAAGTGAAAAGGCAATCTCCCGAGGGAGAAAATGTTTAAATATATACATCCAATAAATGTCTTATATCACAAATATTTCAGGGACTCAATGGAACTAGTAAGAAAAAGACAATTAGAAAAATGAGTAGAAGAATTGAGCAGGCACCTCACAAAAAGAATATTCAAATGAGCAACAGACATAAAAACAGTTCATTAGTCATCAGAGAAATGCAAACTAAAACCTCAGTGCATCACTGCTGGGCACTCCGCCAAATGGCTACAGTGAAAAAGGCTATCAAGTAGTGGGAAGAATATGCAGGAATGGGAACTTGCACACTGCTGGTGGGCATGTAAACTGTACAACTACTTCAGAGAACTGTTTGGCACCATAGACTAAAAATGAACATACATCAGCAATTTCAGTCCTAGGAATATACTCAAACAGCAGTGCTTACAGATTTTTTTTTTTTTTTTTAACATAGTCTCACTCTGTTGCCCAAGTTGGAGTGCAATGGCGCAATCTCGGCTCACTGCAACATCCAGCTCCCAGGTTCAAGCAATTCTCCCGCCTCAGCCTCTCAAGTAGCTGAGAATAATGGTGCCCACCACTACGTCCAGCTAAGTTTTATATTTTTAGTAGAGATGCGATTTCACCATGTTGGCCAGGCTGGTCTGCCCACCCCAGCCTCTCAAAGTGCTGGGATTACAGGCGTGAGCCACTGCACCCAGCGTGCTTAACAGCTGTTTACCAAAATAGGTACAGGAGCCTGACTGCAGCAGCAAGATACAGAATGACCCCATGGTAGGAACTGTCTGTCAACCCGTGTCCAGTAGAATGGATAAACAAAATTGTGGTCTAGCCATATAGTGGAATGTTAACACACCAACAAGAATAAATTACTGCTAACAAAATATGAGTGAATATCACAAAACAGATTGAGTGTAAGATGTCAGACACATAAGAGTATATGATGCATGATTCCGTGGATGGAAAATCCAAAACAGGCAAACCTATTTTATGGTGTTGGAAGCCAGGGATGTAGTCATGTTTTATTTATTGCTCTGAATCAGGAAATGTTCATGTTATGGAAAATGGTTGAGCTGTACACTTATGATTTATGTGCTTACTTATCACCTCCTTTAAGACTGAAAAATAACTAGACGTGGTTCCCTCTGGGTCATTCCTGACCTGGTGTCCCCTAGCTTTTGTTTCAACGGGAGTTCCCCGCACTCCCCCTTTCGGTCGCACTTCTAGGGTGTGCTGTGATTCTAACGGACCTGTCTCCCTGGGGACCAGAGGACTGGCTCCGTCTGGTCCACCGCGGTCACCCTAGTCGTTGGCACAGTGGCAGCCCAGCCTGTGGTAGCTGCTTATTAAATGACTGTGGTGTAATGCCTCGATAGGTCCCTAACCCCAGCTAGTTGGGCACTTGCCGAATCACTGCCACAGTGACGAGCCAAAGCGTAGAGGCAGAGGTTGTGCCCGGAGCAGAGAAGACTGTGAGCAGAAACAGTATCCACCAAGCACCGACCGCCAGGCTCTTCCAGCGAGGCAAGCCCAAGGGGAGCCGCCCGCGCGAGCTTCTTGGCGACAGAAAAGGCGACAGCCTCCTCGAAGGGCCCTTTCCCGCCGCCTGCGTGTTGCGGGTGCCAGAAGGTGAAGGAGAAGGGAAGCGGACGCGCGGCCGGCCGGGCAAGGCCGGGCTGGAGGCGGCGCGGACCCCCGCGATTCCCAGTGGGGCCGGGGCTCCCGGGCCTACGCCGGCCGCGCGCCGCCCTGCCCGCCCCACAGAGCCCCGCCGCGCCTCCCGGTCCCCCGAGACCCCTCCCGGGCTCACCTGCGCGCGGGCCCCGTCGCGATGCGGGCTCCGCGGGGAAGAGCGGCGAGCAGGCCCCGCTCCCCGGAAGCGCCGCGCACCGCCCGCCGCGCTGCCCCTCCCACGCCGCCCGGCCCAGTCCTGACCCGGGAGGCGCTCGGGCACGATCCCGCTGCGGGAGACGCGGGGCGGGGCAGCCCCGGTGTCCCCCGCAGCCCGAGCCCCGGCCAGCCTAGCCTCTGCGTGATTCCGGGAGCCCGTCCTCTCTGCGAGCTGCGTGGGGGCGGTCCGCAGCAACTCCGGGAGGAGCCTGTGCCCAGGGTTCCCCGGCGCCCACCGTGACAACCTGAAGCCTGGGTTTTGTTCTAAGCGCGAGAGAAGGAAAAAAAAAAAACAAAAAACCAACCAAACAACCAACCATATTCCAACCATTTAATTATCCTAACACCCTGCCGGGGTTGGGGTGCGTATACCTTTTTTCTTTTCTACAATTGAGAAACATGAAGCTTGAAGAGTTGGAATGACTTTTCCAGAGGTCACACACAGCGAGGGGTGCACGGGGCTGCAGTGCAGGAGGGGCAGACCAGGGCGGCAGCTGGGAAGCCAGGCCGCTGCGGCCGGCAGACTGGTTGATGCCGATGACGATGGAAGCCCCGTCTCAGGCCAAAGGGCTTTCTTTGCTCCTCTAGGCAGTGAGCCCACATGAGCGTTATGAACGGCGCTGCGGGACGCTGCAGACAGCGTGCTGTAGGCAAGATGCTGGGAAGTCCTGGGTGGAAGAGATGGAGATGCGTTCGCCTCCTACTTCTTAGAGCTCTTCAGATGTTGGTGAGCGCTATGAAGGGAACAGGGAGCATTCCCCACAATTGTTTGACTCTATGAGAAATGTGAATGTCTTCCTGGGCTTCTTGCTCCCGGGCATGCCAGTTTGGGAAACACTATCCTAAAACCCGTTTGAAATGCTGGAGGGTGGAGGTAGTTAAATTAGGCCATCTAAGATTCATGATCTCCCCTCCAATCTGATTTCCTCCTTTTCTCACCAGCCAGCCAAAACAGATGAGCACCCCGTCCTGGGAGGGCTCTGGAGTCAACTGCCTGGGTTCACAGCCAGCGCTCATCACTTACTAGTTGTGTGGCCTTGGTGAAGTCACCAGACCTTTCTAGGCTTGCTTTCCTCATCACATTATGGTGTCTGATTGCTGGTGTTCTTGCAAAGATTAGATGAGTCTACGTAAAGTAGATCAGATACCTGGCCCTATACCCAAGGGCCCAGTTTGCTTTGACTCTACCAAGTACACCTCCACCCACGGCCTTCCGTTTGCCCAACTCTGCTCTGCAAAATGCCCTCCTTCTAGCAAGGCCTATTTTGTCGTTGTTTCCTTTTTTTTTTTTTTTCACATCACACCGATGAGCCAACGCTTAATAAAGTTTAAGGGAGGCACATTTCACACATGTACGTGAGCACCCAGTCACCATGCTGATGAACTACAAAGGGATCAAGGCCCATTTTTGCCTTTCTCTTATTCAGGAAAGCTTTGCCTCCTCCAGCCCTGCCCACCTCCTTCCCTCAAAGGGAAGTGCTTTTCATTGTCAAGAGCCTGTGCTCTGACTGCTTAGCTCCCACTTTAGACTAAAAATTCCTCAAGGCCAGGGATGGTTCTTCAGGCTCTGGCCAGAGCAGAGGGACACTTGAGGGACACTCGGATAAACAGGCCTTGACTGCGCCAAGGATGGGCCAAGCGTTGGGACAGGTGGGTATCAGATAGGGATGCAGAAGGCTTGGTCCTGGCTCTGCACAGTTCAGTGGGGAAGGCAGGTGCACGGAGGCAGTGGTGAGGGCTTGCCCACAGCTTGAAGTAGAGCCCTGTGGGAGGACAGGGGAGTCCTCAGCACTTCTTAATAAACAGAGTACTTTTGGAAGGGAGCAGCTTCTGGGCGAGGAACACTTGAAGGCCTTTTTTTCCCCTTTCTCCCTGAGATTGGGATGTCTGTGCTGAAGGGAGGGGCAGCTACTGCCTGGCACCTAGGGGAACCTCACAGGATCAACCCGGATGTTGGCTTGTCCCTCCCCCATATCCCTGGCTATTTCCTTCCTGTCTTTCATCACTGTCTTCTTCCTCTTCTGCCTTCTGCCTTAGGCCTGGCCCCTCACCCCAACCCCAGGGGCACATCTCCTCCCCTGCCATTAGTAAGGCCCACCTCCAACATTTCTTCCCTCCCTTTCATCCTTCCCGATAAAAGCCTCCTTAGCTTCCATGACACCACACTCTCCTGGCTTTTCTCCTGTCTCTGTGGGCACCTCTTCAGCATCCTCTTCTTTGGTTTGTGTCTTAAATGTCAATGGGGTCCCTTCAGCTTCCCTCCTTGGCCCCCTACTCCACCCTCTGGGGTGGTGCCATGCTGTTCCATGATGTTCACGTCTCTATCTACAGCACACATCATCTTCCAAGGACCATGCCAATCAGCCCAACTCCCTGTTTGAGGGACGCCCTTACAGGTACCCCTCATTCACCACGTACCAGACTGCATCGCTCACTGGTCCTCACTCTGCTCCTCCCTGGTGTTCCTCATCTCAGGGAGAGGCAGTACCTCCATCCAGAAACCTGGCCATCCGACTTGCCCCACTTCTTGTTACTGGCATCCCTCTGATTCTTGTCGTGATGGTTCAGGTACCCAGTGTCTCTGCCATGTGGACTGCAACCACAGCCTCCATGTGGCCTGCTTGCTGCCTGCCTTGACATCCTCATCTGCTCTCTACAAGGTCATCCAGGTGACTCTTCTAAAAGGAAAATCTGATCAGGTTGCTCCCCTGTTTAAAACCCCTCAGTGGCCCCCTGCCCATAGGATAAAAATCCAAGCTCCTTTGTGTGGCTCGCCAGGCTCTGGTTCCTCTTCTTGTACTCCGCGATCCAGGCAGAAAGTCACACTGAATCCTGCTGCGGTCTGAATGTCGGTGTCCTCCCTAACACCCAATGTGATAGTGTTAAGAGGTGGGGCTTTTGGGGAAGTGATTAAGTCATGAACATAACTCTGCCCTCCTGAAAGGAAATGTCCTTGGAAGAGGTTGAAAGAAGCTGCCTTACCCTTTCTGCCATGTGAGGATGCAGTGAGAAAGCACCATCTTTGAAGCAGACAGCAGGCTTTTACTAGATATTGAATCTGCTGGTGACTTGATCTTAGACTTCCCAGCTTCTAGAACTGTGAGCTATGTATTTCTATTGTGTGTAAATCTTATTCTTGCTTCTGGGCCTTTACATATGGTGTGCCCTCAGCCTGGATCTTTCCTTGGCCACCTTGCATTCACTTCACTAAATGCCCATCCCTTAGGTTTAGCTGAGGTCAATTTCCCTGGAGGAGCTTCATGGAGAAACACCCTTGCTACCCTCCTACTCCCACCCTGGGTGAGGTGTCTGTGTCTTGTGCTTATGCTAGCACTGTGGGGGTTACACTGAATCTGACTTCAGGGTGAGGGGCTAGGAGGGGCAGGACATAGCTATAAAAGTTCCAGCAAAGACACGACTATGTTTTGCTTGCTGGTGTACCTCAACATGTAGACCCTTAGCCTGGCCAGCAGTTGGGCTGAATAAGTGTTGGTAGAATAGATGGACAAAACCATCCCTCTTCTTTACAACCAAACTCCCTGCAGGACCTCAGGAATGCGGGGCACTTGCTTACAAGCAAGATGCCTACCACCTGGGATCTAAGAGAGCTCCTGGACTGTCTACCATCTTGGAGCCTGTGGAGGCTTGCTGGGAACAAGAAGGCTGTGGTCCAAGGCCAGTTTTGCAGCTTTAAGTGGGGTTTCCAGAACCAAAGGGGGCACACAGCTCTTCTTAAAGTTGAGTGTTTATGCCTGGGATGAAACTGAATTCTATTTGGGCAAGAGATGTGCTCTTGTATTCAAAGCAAAGAACCACACAGTGACTCCTGCTGGCACACCAAACAAAACCAGAGTAACCTGGGGAAAAGTAACTTGGGTTCATGGAAACAGTGGCATGATTTACGTCGAATTCCCAATCTTCCTGCTGAGACCACAGACACAGAACCTGTGTGATACTGTACCCCTCAAGAATATGAACTAATGAAAGGTGGACTTGTGCTTTTTTTTTTTTAAAAAAAAGGTTTTTTTAAGAGTTCTCAGAAAGAAAAAAAAAGCTCCTCATCTGGTGTAAGGCTAGTGGGGTACTTCAAAAGCTCCTGCTGTATGATGAAAAGAAGAGACAGAAGACTGGAGGGAGGGAGTTAATTACATGTATTGACTGATGGATAGGGTAAAGAGACAACCAATAAACCTGAGCCAGGCTGCCCCAGAATGCTCCCCTGCCAGGGCTCTATCTGCTGAGGGTCAGAGGCAGTGTTTTCTGGTCAGTGCCAGGATGGAGCCAGTCCTGGGCCAGGGTGCCCAGGCCTCCAGCTGGATTTCCCTGGTGGATGACACCAGCATGGGCTACAGATCAGTCCTAGGATCCTGCTCATCACTCACTGTTGGCCTGGGCCTCAGTGCCTGTGCCTGCCCAGCCATGAAGGGGCAATGGCCTGCCTGACAGGAGAGTGGGGAAAGGGAGAAGGCCCGGCACGGTGCTGGGGAAGACTGGAACAGAAAAAGAAGAAAGAAGGCCGTGAACACGGCCAGGATGCAAGCCAGTGGGGCCGGTGCAGAGCGCACATGCTCAGATGATGTTGTCCTCCTGGATCTTCTCTCCCAAGTAAAAGCGGCTGAAGAGGAAGGGGTCCAGGTTGATGGTCTGGCAGCGGCCCTCCAGTATCATCTCTGCCACAGCTCGTCCCACACCAGGGGCCTGCTGGAGCCCATGACCGCTGAAGCCAGTAGCAAAGAACATGTTGACAACTAGTGGATGGGGGCCCAGCACACCATTCTGGTCAAAGGTGTTGTAGTCGTAATAGCCGGCCCAGGCGTTCTGAACCTGTACATGCACAAAATGCTGGGTTCTCAGGAAGGCTGCAGCCACGCTCCATCCACTCATCAGGGGTCAGCACAAAGTACCCTCTACCCACTGCTAAGGGGTCCATGGGATGGGATGGGTCCCACAGATTCTTCAGCAACTGTGACGCAGAGGGATTAAGGCAGTGGACAGGTCCAAGGGAACCAATATGCTCCACTGTCACCTGTCCCATCCAATGTCCAAAAATAAAAAGGAAAACCAGCCCCTGCCGGTTACCTTCAGAGTCTCAAAAGCTGGGACCCTCTGAGCCAAATGGGGCCACACCTTGTCCTGGAAGAAATCATTGTCCACTTCCAGGTTCCCTGGGTCCGGTTCTTCCTCCTGGGGTGAGAGGTGGAGACAAGGCTTACACTGCCTAAGACACGACAGACCCAGACTTGTTTAACAATCCCTTTGTAGGTAGAGAATGGGGAGAAATGGTCCCAGTTCAAATCTGGAGGGGGCTGCAACATCAATTAACATAGCACACAGACCCCAAAAAAGCCGGATTTGTTTTTGAAACGGTGTTTCACTCGTCGCCCAGGCTGGAGTACAATGGCGTGATCTTGGCTCACTGCAACCTCTGCTTCCTGGGTTTAGGTGATTCTCCTGCCTCAACCTCCTGAGTAGCTGGGATTACAGGCACGCACTGGCACTGCCACCAGGCCCAGCTAATTTTTGTATTTTTAGGAGTCAGGGTTTTGCCATGTTGGCCAGGCTGGTCTCAAACTCCTGACCTCAGGTGATCCACCCGCCTTGGCCTCCCAAAGTGCTGAGATTACAGGCATGAGCCACCACCTGAGTCTTTTGCGACAATTATTTGATGTCTCCTTGCCGGCATGTCCCACCCCACTCAGCTTACCTCAGTGGGGCTACGGCCACCCAGGTAGTTGCCACCTAATCCTTCCCGGCGGAAATAGGTTCCACTAGTGTCTGCAACGAGTGGACTCTCCAAGCCTGGTCCCTGGGGGCAATGCCACACATACACATACCTGCGATAACCACTGTGGTTACGAACTGCAAAAACAGCATGGCCGGCAACCCTCCCCAACCACACACATACACACACACACACACACACACACACACACACACACACGGCCGGCAACCCTCCCCAACCCTGTATGTACACACAGACACACAGACACACACACACACACACACACACACACGGCTGGCAACCCTCCCCAACCCCATGTACACACACACACATACACACACACACAGAGACACGGCCGGCAACCCTCCCCAACCCCGTACACACACACACACACACACACACACACACACACATCTAACTTTGATGTCATTTTTCTTTATCTCACCAAACTCCTCAGCTGCCCAGAGGGCAGTTACCTTTTCCTCGGCTCCACAGGTAGCTTGGTGCCCTGCAGGGTGTTAGGCGGCCCCTTCCCAATACCAGCCAGTGCTGCGATATGCGAAGACCAGGCTCCGGCTGCATTGATCACTAAGGCGCATTCCACAGGCTGGTATTCCAGGCTGTTGTCCATCTTCACCTGCAGGCACCAGAGGGTGAGGGGTGGGAAGGCCTGAACCACATACCAGGCACCCTGAGAGATGCACTGCTTCCTGAGCCTCAGTTTCCTCAGACTGGAAAGTGGGTCAAAGAAGACCAAAGCAAGGAGGGTCACTCACTACCTTTCCCCTCCCTCCATTTTGGTAAGGACACCACCAGACTAGAGACTTACGTGGACTTCATAGATCCTTTTCATTTTCACCTCTTTCTCATTTTTGGTCAACATGAGGTTAGATGAAGAGACAAAACCTGCAGAGAAGAAAATGAAAAATAGGTCTTGGAGGCCCCGAAGAGGAAGGAAATGGGGATTTCACTGGTTTCTTAAGGAAAGAAAGCTGGAAGGATGGGAGCTTTCCCACAGATACTGAAGCGAACAGAGATGAAGGAACTGGCATGAGCTTGGCCACACTCTGATAGGACAGTGCTGAGGTGAAATCATCAAGCAGATCACAAGTCACAACACCGCTCAGTGAGGAGCTTGGGTCAGGATGCCTAGGACCTGCCCACAGGGGAGACCCCTTTCCCTCTCCAGCTCTTGCTTAGCCTGTGAGTGAGAAGAGAAGACCTCGTCGAGGCCTATGCCCCGGTTGCTAGAGGAAACAAGCTCAGACTCACGTGTCACCTCTCCCTGGCAGAAAAGGACTCCCATGGACTCGACCTTTCGCCGAAGCCCCTGGAGCAGACACCAGGGGTCAAACCAACCTTCGTCCTCCATCCCTGTGATAAGAAAAAGAGAACTCACAAAGAGGGATGAAGTCTCCTGCTCTCTGATTGTATTTCCTGTGCCCCCAACCCCTCTCTAGGGCTTGTAAGCCGGGGAAGGTCTTCTTGACCAACTGAACCACAGACACAAAGCCTGCTGAAGGACAGAGACCTAGCGCGGCCCAGGGTAGTCCCCGTTACACAGGAGGGAAGTGTTCTTCCTTCAGCTTGGCTCTGGGGCACTGAGACTCCCAACCTGTAGTACCCCTTAGTCTCTATCTTCAGGAAAAAAGCTGTCCCCTCTGCAAGCAAGTCTCACCATAGGACGCCAAAGCCACTCCCTCTGTGTTTATCCAGGGAAACTTGTTCCGAAGCTGATCAGGAGACATCAGACAAACTTTGGCTCCCTCCTGCCTGAGACAAATGTGTGGGTTGGTGTATGTGTGTAGAGAGGGGAGTGTGCAGAGGGGTGAAGTATGAACCCCAACTCCACAAATGGGAAGTCCAGCTCACTCATGCCACTTCTTTAACCCAAATGCCCCTATTTTTCCTCATTGCCTACTGGCCGAAGACCAAGCCTCCTAGTCAGGCTCTTTAGCTTATGATTATCTTTTCTTCCCTACACCCTCTTCATCTCCCGACCTCCCTTCAGCACACAGAGCTTCCTATCCTGGTCTATTCCATGACTTTTTTTTTTTTTTTTTAATTGAGTCTGGCTCTGTTGCCCAGGTTGGTGTGCAGTGGTGCCATCTTGGCTCACTGCAACCTCCTCCTCCCAGGTTCAAGTGATTCTCCTACCTCAGCCTCTTGAGTAGCTGGGATTACAGGCACGTGCCACCACACTCAGCTAATTTTAGCATTTTTAGTAGAGACAGGGTTTCACCATGTTGGCCAGGCTGGTCTCAAACTCCTGACCTCAGGTGATCCACCTGCCTCGACCTCCTAAAGTGCTGGGATTACAGGCATGAGACACTGCACCCAGCTTATTCCATGAACTTTCATGACAAGGTGGTAACTTGTTCCCTCCACTCCTGCCTAGTTCCACTTCCTCTCCACTCCTTGCACAATCCTGTTCATGAGCACAGGTATCTCCTCTGGGACACTGTCCCCCAAAGGCAGCTTGGCAGAGGCACCAACAGAACACTCACAAGCCAGACTACTGGCTTCGAATAAAATCCCACTGCCACCACTAACTGGCGCCTCATGTTTCCTCATATGTATAGTGGTGATGTTCTGATGATTAGAGTTAATATCTGTACAGCATTTAGGATATTAATTGATGTCACTGTGAGACTTGGGTGTTTGCTAAATAAACATAAAAATAAAGCCTCTGGCCACACTGCATCACAAAGATGCCCACCCTCACCTGATTATGAGAATCATTTAGAGCAGGGGTTGCCAAATCTGAACTGCTACCTGTTTTCGTAAATGAGCCACACTCCTTCATTTCTGCTTTTGTCTATGGCTGCTTTCATGCTGTGATAGCAGAGTGGGTGCAATGAAGGCCAGCAAAACCTAAAATATTTACTATCTGGCCCTTTACAGAAAAAGTTTGCTAACTCCTAAGGTTCTTGTTAAAAACCCAGACTTGTGGGATTCTTCCCTAGAGATTCTGGCTTATTAGGTCTGGGGTGTATTCCAGGTGGTTTTCATGATCTGATAAACTAGGAAGCACCTGGCAGTGTTTTGTCCATATTAGTAGTATGGCACTCCCACGGGGTTCTGCAGGTCTGTGTGTGTATTTTCTTCCTGACACGCTGAGCTCCTCGACTGCAAGGATCTGTCTTATCAACTCCACCTTCTCAGTTCCTAACCTGATACAGGAGTCACCAAACACCTTTGGCCACAAAGCAGCTGAGAGGCTGTTCCAGGTACCCACCTCTGCACTTTCACGTTGTTCTCCATGGCTGCAGCATTCTTTTCTGAAGCCAGCCAGAGGTAGCCTAAGGGGTTGAACTGGAGATCCAGGGGAGGGGCATCGACCACAGCCAGGTGCTCCTGTGTGCAGAGAGAGGCTCCTGAAAGAGGCTGACTTAAGGACGCCAGGGAGAGTTTTCCTGCCTTCTTCCCCCACAGCTCCTGGGGCTCAGTGCCCCAGACCTTGAGGCACCACCACTAGGAGGAAAGGCCAGCGCCCCCACTCCTAATTGCCTGACCCATTCCTGCTCGCTGACTACCTTGCTAGCTGAGCTGCTCCTCCCTCTGGGCTAAAGGAGGGGTTACCAGCCCAACATCCCCAAATCCCAAATATCATTGCACCTACATTGATGTTCCGTAGAAAGCTGGCTGAAAAGAGGGAGAGATGGATGTTCTCAGGCAATGAGAACTGCTGATGAATCCCACCCAGTGAGAGTGCACTGGAGGCCCGTGAATACTGTGGAAAAACAAGAAACATTGAGGTAGACCAGTACCCTATCACATGTGATCAGAGCACTGCAATGAAAGATTCGAGCTACACACCCAAAGTTTAAGGGGAGTCCTATTTGCAAGTCTGTAATCTAAGAGGAGTTGAAGTGCACAGACCCATGTGTAAGTCAACTTGAAGACAACAGTGTTTAAAATCGGATGTGCAGAGCAGAGAGGGTCAGTCATCTGGAAAGAGCTGACACAGTGGTACAAAATGGTAACGGTCTGGAAGGAAGTCCAAGGGCAGGGAACTAACATTTGACCTACCATTTGGAAAATGAAAGGTTATGATTGATGTAGAGTAGCAAGGCTTGTAGCTAGCTGGCAATGCAAACAGGAACATCCAAAGTGCAAAAGCCAGCCAGGTGGTGGCTCATGCCTGTAATCCCAGCACTTTGGGAGGCCGAGGTGGGTGGATTGCTTGAACTCAGGAATCTGAGACCAGCCTGGGCAACATGGCAAAAACCCATCACTACAAAAAATACTGAAATTATCCAGGTATGGTGGTGCACGCCTGTGGTCCCAGCTACCTGAGAGGAGGACCACTTGAGCCTGAGAGGTGGAGGTTGCACTGCACTCCAGCCTGGGCAACAGAGCAAGACTCTGTCTCAAAATAAATAAACAAAATAAAATGCAAAAACCTCAGAAGTAATGGGGCCTAACGAAGCAACTTGAGGGCCAGGCATGGTGGCTCATGCCTGTTATCCCAGCACTTTGGGAGGCTGAGGTGGGCGGATCACTTGAGGTCAGGAGTTCAAGACCAGCCTAGGCAACACGGTGAAACCCTGTCTCTACTAAAAATACAAAAAATAGCTGGGCATCATGGTGTGTGCCTGTAATCTCAGCTACTTGGGAGGCTGAGGCAAGAGAATCACTTGAACCTCGGAGGCGGAAGTTGAAGTGAGCTGAGATCGTGCCACTGCACTCCAGCTTGGGTGACAGAGCAAGACTCTGTCTCAAGAAAAAAAAAAAAAAATTGAGACAATTATATCTTGAATGTAGGCTCTTGTGACCACAGCTGTGAGATCTCAAAAAATCCAGTATTGTGATATCTGCTTTCAAAAGCACAAACTTTATTGCCAAGCTTCCTGGTTTGACTGAGGAAGATCCTGGGACAATTTCTCAACAAGGTCCAAAGCACAATCTCTGCCCTCTGGATTCCCCGAGATTGAGGTCTTTCCCCTCCTCTCCTTCCCATCCCTAGAGTCCTTAAGAGAATTTGAGTCATCTTTTTTGCCCCACTCCTGACTCTGCCCTACCCCAGACCTCACCGTGAGGTCCCGTTCCACGACCAGCACCCGAAGAGCATCTCGCTGCTTCTCCAGCTTCTTCAGCCAATAGGCCACAGACAGGCCAAGTACCCCACCTCCTACGATCACCACATCCGAGTGGTCGGGGGGCAGGTGGCTGCGGTCATACAGTGGATGCAAGTCCGTTCCAGGCAGCCCTGACTGGATCTTCTTCTTAATCTCAGACAATATCTCCTCCCAGTCTGTGGGACGTAGTCAGGGTCAGAGGGCCATATGTTTCCTTCCCACATGGTGGGGGCGGGGGGAGGGGGATGGAGGAAGGGCATAGGAAAAAGTGGGCTAAACAGATATGAGTTGGCAGTCCCACTGTCATCGTGTCTCATAAGGTTACCTTGCACCCAATAGTATTGCCAGTTTTCTGAATGGTCCACATGCCATCAGTCTCTCTTTCCATGTACTATGCCAAGCACTGCAAGATTCAACTTCCTAAAATTAATTTTCCACATTTACCTCCTGCATAGACCTCTCCTGATTCCGACACACATACTCAACCACACTGTCATCCCCACTTGGATCTTCCAGGCCTCTGGACCAAGAGGCCCTGGCACACTCCAAGTCACAGTATCCTCTGAAGCATGGCACTTCTAAGTGGCACCTTATCCTGAATATCCATCACCACCACCAAACCTACATTTTTTTTTTTTTTTTAAAGATGGGGTTTCACCATCATGGCCAGGCTGGTCTTAAACTCCTGACCTCAAGTGATCCACCCACCTCAGCCTCCCAAAGTGCTAGGATTACATGCATGAGCCACTGCGCCCAGCCCTGAAACCTACATTTACATCCTATCTATAATCAAGTCCTGAGGACTGGCTTCCAAATAATTCCTCAATCTGTCCCCTTTCTTTCTCTGCCACCATCATCCTAGGCCAAGCCACTTATCACCTCTCAACTGGACAAATGCAAAAGCATCCTAACTGTTCCCACTCACCCCACCCCCTGCAGCAAACATTTTTACAATATAGCTAAAAAAGAAATTTCTTTTCTTTTCTTTTTGAGATGGAGTCTTGCTCTGTCGCCAGGCTGGAGTGCACTGGTGCAATCTTGGCTCACTGCAACCTCCACCTCCCAGGTTCAACCGATTCTCCTGCCTCAGCCACTCCAGGAGCTGGGATCACAGGTGTGCACCACCATGCCTGGCTAATTTTCGTATTTTTAGTAGAGACAGGGTTTCATCATGTTGGCCAAGATGGTCTTGATCTCTTGACCTCGTGATCCACCTGCTTCGGCCTCCCAAAGTGCTGGGATTACAGGCATGAGCCACTGTGCCTGGCCAGAAATTTCTTTTCAAAACACAAATTTAATCACAAATGCTCTCGCTTAAAATCCTCCAGTAGGTTTCCATTACTCTAAAGACCAAAGTCCAAAGCCTTAAACAGGGCCTGTAAGGTACTGCACCATCTGGCTCCTGTTCCTCTTGTCCTCCCCTACACTCTAGTCCCTTGAGTTCCTTGATGGCACCTTATTTCCTCCCACCACAGGGAACCTACACATGCCCTCTCTGCTTTGAAACTCTGTCCACTTCCTTGCCTAGTTAATTCCCTGCTCAAGAAAGCCTTTCTTGACCCTCTAGACCAGGTCAAACTCTACATGATCTCTTGGACACAATTGCAACTTTGAGTTTATGATTACATACTCTAAAATCCATGAGTGGGGAGGCTGTGTTTACCTTCACTCAATCTCCAGCCTCTCTCAACACCTGACATATTCTAAGTGCTCAGTAAGTACCTTAAAACCCTTTGCCATTTCATAGCTCACTCAAACTCTCCTCAGCAGCATTGGAATCCTTCTTTAGTCTGGCCTTAGCTTACCTGTCCACACTACATTTCATGTTACTACTCGCACATCTATTTAGATGGCTTTTGCTAGTTCCTTGCATAAGAACAATATTTTTCTCCTAATCTGCACTCAGTTCTTCATAGACTGGAACACACACTTTTCTTAAGCCAGTAAACATCCTTCAAGGCTGATCTCAGTTCCCACCTGCTCCATGTACTTCTACAGTTATGCTAGCTAGCAGTGAGGGAATTTCGCTCTGTCACCCAGGCTGGAGTGCAATGGTGCGATCTTGGCTCACGGCAATCTTCGCCTTCCGGGTTCAAGCGATTCTCCTGCCTCAACCTCCCGAGTAGCTGGGATTACAGGAGCCCACCGCCACACCAAACGAATTTTTGTATATTTAGTAGAGGCGGTGTTCTACCCTGTTGGCCAGGCTGCTCGCGAACTCCTGATCTCAGGTGATCCACCCGCCTCGATCTCCCAGAGGGCTGGGATTACAAGCGTGAGCCACCGTGCCCTGCCTCTATCCAGTCTTGAACTGGTCTATTGTCTATTGAAATTTTCCCACTCTAGATAAACTCTAGCCCTCTTCCAGGATATTCACTGAATCCCGTCTTCTCTTCTCTTCCCTACTTCACCGCCACAGCACTACGAACACCATCGCGGGCAAGACTTAATGCTCATCTGTGCCACCTACGAATCAGTCTGACTGTAAGCCGAGGTGGAGAATAATGTGGGACATGCCACCTGAGAAGGATGGCCTTGGGAGCCATACACCTGCCCAGCCCCGACAAGCTCTGGTAGGCGAGCTTATCCCCTTCCCCAAGCCGACCCACTGTCCTGCCAGTGTGGGGCACGGTTCCATGTCCTGAAGGGCACACAGCCGGAGGTTGGGGGCACCCCAGATCCACACCCTCTGTCGTCCTCAACTTTACCCAGAGAAAAGCCTCCTCTAAGCGTGCCTCGCCTCCGGGTCAAGGGGCCCCGGCGCATGCCGAGCGACAGAACCCTCGGAAGCATGACCCTTCCAAGCGCGGACAGCCTGAGAGCTGCACAGCGGCCTCGCAATCAACCCAGCCGTCACCGCTGGGCGCCAAACGCCATTCAGACGAGCGCGCCAATTGGCCAGCGGCCCCTCCGGGATCCGCCCCCCCCGACGCTATAGGTGGCTATCTCCCCGTGACCTCTCCGGGAGCCCCACCCAGGCCCGCTCCCACCCACCATTGGCGGACCTTGTGATACGTCAGTCGTGCGCGCCCTCGGGCGGAGATGAGGAGGGCACCCGGCGTTCCGAGCGGAAGTGCGGTTGAGCTGGTTTCCGGGGCCGCTGGTGTGACGTGTCCAGCGCTTGGCGCAGCAGGAAGCGGCGGCGATCGCGGCCTGAGTTCCCGGCCCCGGCCCCAGCTCCTCTGCCGCTGCCGCCATGCTCGACTTCTTCACCATTTTCTCCAAGGGCGGGCTTGTGCTCTGGTGCTTCCAGGGCGTGAGCGACTCATGCACCGGGCCCGTTAACGCGTTGATTCGTTCTGTGCTGCTGCAGGTACCGCCCCCGCGGGATCAGAAGTCCAGGCTCTTCTTCCCTGACCTGGTCCACGGTCCCCTTAGACTCTGTTCCGCGCCTCCTCCCATCCTCCCCGCCCACCTCAAACTGGCCACTCACGCTTAACCCAGACTTCGCTTCGTTTGCCTGCCCCCTTCAGACTACCCCGCAACTTAGTGACGGTCCCCCTCTCTGGTGTCTGGACTCTAGCCGAATTCCGGTGTCTGGGATTTCCCTCCTCTCCCTCTGTTTACCCCCAGCAGCTTGTTTTTGTTGTTTCGAGGCTAGGTGAAATAACAGATGGGAAAACACCTTTGCAAAACTAAGTGGTGTATAGCCGCTAGTAATCTGATTGTTTATGTGACTGTTGCCCTTTTGGCTCCCATGTGTCTTCCTCTCCCCTACCTCTTTCCCCCAACTTGTTACCTTCTTTTCTTTCTGGTGGAATGTCAGAGAGAAGTGCCCCAGCATCCTCTTGTCCTGGGGACAGACTCGAATTTGGGGGAAATGTGTGGTTCTTTCCCAAAGGTAATCCAAACCCAGGGCCCAAACCTGGGTTTTCTGGGGATAGTCGGAACACTGAGACATACTCTTTCTCCAGGAGCGGGGCGGTAACAACTCCTTCACCCATGAGGCACTCACACTCAAGTATAAATTGGACAACCAGTTTGAGCTGGTGTTTGTGGTAAGTGGGGTGTTGTAGAGGGACAATGATTACATTCTTAGCATAGTCCTGATTATTAAGAGAACTCGGATTAATTGCAGCCGGTGTATATGATGATGTAACTCGGTAATCTAGAAAGGTAGATGGGAGGAAACAGCAGCTACTGGGCCCAGGCAGGGAGTTTGGCTGCCTCTCACGACAGGGAAACCAGCCAGGTGGCTGAACCTATCTCTGAAAGCCAGGGTTGAGTTGGCTTCTTTCCATTCTAGGCTGGCATGTAAGCAGATCTGTTGGCTTTGTTTTCTCCTAAACAGGTTGGTTTTCAAAAGATCCTGACACTGACATATGTAGACAAATTGATAGATGACGTGCACCGGCTGTTTCGGGACAAGTACCGCACAGAGATCCAACAGCAAAGTGCTTTAAGTTTATTGAATGGCACTTTTGATTTCAGAAATGACTTCCTGCGGCTCCTTCGGTGAGAGGCCTGCCTTCTCTAAATCAGTTTATTTCCATGATTTGATGAGGCTCAAGGGTGGTAAATGGGTGTGTTAAAAGACATTCCTAATTTGCTACCCAGTTCTCATTGTCCTCTTGGGTGTGGAAGTCCTTTCTCTGAACTGTTACTTTTCCTCCTGCACAAGGTAGAAAGGCAAACCATTCTGTTTTGTTGTTTAGCGAAGCAGAGGAGAGCAGTAAGATCCGTGCTCCCACTACCATGAAGAAATATGAAGATTCTGAAAAGGCCAAGAAACCTGCAAGGTCCATGATTGAGACACGGGGGGAAAAGCCCAAGGAAAAAGCAAAGAATAGCAAAAAAAAGGGGGCCAAGAAGGAAGGTGAGTTTGAGTTCTTTGGACATACTGGGACATGAAGGGCATTAACACGGTGCTAAGGACTCAGGTGGTCTTCCTTCCGTCATCGCTTGCCTCTTTCTCACTCAAATGGTCACCATCCTATACTCCCAAGGCCTTGTGAACCCTAAGATGTTTGGTCCAAATTTCCTTTGAGCTATTTGGAAGACTTTTCGCCATTGTCTAGTGGTTGGGATTGGTCTTTTTTTTTTTTTTTTTTTTTTTTTTTCAGTTGAGTTTTTCTCCAGCAGGTTCTGATGGTCCTTTGGCTACCAGCAAAGCAGTTCCTGCAGAAAAGTCAGGTCTCCCAGTGGGTCCTGAGAACGGAGTAGAACTTTCCAAAGAGGAGCTGATCCGCAGGAAGCGAGAGGAGTTCATTCAGAAGCATGGGAGGGGTATGGAGAAGTCCAAGTGAGCACTGTTTCTCCAGTACTCTCAAAATACTCTTATCTAGACACGATGGGTGCGAGGGAGTTCTAATCTCTGGCTCATGTTTCCTTTCCTACTTCTCCACCATAACCCTTTGTCCTATAACCTGTTGCAGCAAGTCCACCAAGTCAGATGCTCCAAAGGAAAAGGGCAAAAAAGCACCCCGGGTGTGGGAACTGGGTGGCTCTGCTAACAAAGAAGTCTTGGATTATAGTACTCCCACCACCAATGGAACCCCTGAGGCTGCCTTGTCTGAGGACATCAACTTGGTAAGAGGCAACAGGGGTCAAAGTGAAGGTTATCTTTAATAAGAAATTGGAAGTGGAGAGCGGGAAGGTGATACCTGGGTTTGAGTGAGGCGTAAATTATACTTGGAGCTTCCTCAAATGTAAGAGAGAGAGCAATGTGGACTTCTTCCTCAGGGACCCTATTAGTGTTCCTGACCCCATCTCCTTTCCCCCTGTCTACCAGATTCGAGGGACTGGGCCTGGGGGACAGCTTCAGGATCTGGACTGCAGCAGCTCTGATGATGAAGGGGCTGCTCAAAACTCCACCAAACCTAGGTAGGGAAATTTCAGTGGGGGAGGGTGCTATATGCATCTGCAGAACTGGTAAGATACAACTCCTGCCTACTGGCTTGATGTGTATTTGTGATCTCCTATCCCTGCAGTGCTACCAAGGGAACACTGGGTGGCATGTTTGGAATGCTGAAGGGCCTTGTGGGTTCAAAGAGCTTGAGTCGTGAAGACATGGAATCTGTGCTGGACAAGATGCGCGATCATCTCATTGGTAAGTTCTGAGGACAGGGCTGACTCATGTTCATAGGTAGGGGTAGTTGAGAGCAGAAACACCTAGTGTTTCTCACCTGTACCATAAAGACTGGTTATTGCTGACATAGAACTGACATACCCGTCCCCCTCTCCTCAGCTAAGAACGTGGCTGCAGACATTGCTGTCCAGCTCTGTGAATCCGTTGCCAACAAGTTGGAAGGGAAGGTGATGGGGACATTCAGCAGTAAGTACCTCCCTAAGCAAGAAAGTGCTTATGGGTACCAAGAGGTTAAGTGCATAGAGTTCCATTCTTATTAGGTATGTGACTTTTGGCAAATTCCTTAACCTCTATAACCTAGATTTTAAGGGTTATTGAGAGGATTAAATGAGTTAGTCCTTGTAATGTGCACCTGTTCTGGACTTCTGGGACAAAATGCTAGTACAGGCATTGATTGACTTACGACCTATGCAACTTACGACCATTCGACTTTACGACCACAATCGCCAGCCATGACTGCTCCGCGTCTTGCAGCGCAAACGTTGCACAGCTGGGTGTACGACAGTGCTGACCAGCTTCTGGCAGCACTACCATCTCCACGTGCACCATTTCAACGGTACATATAGCCTACTCAACTTAGGACCAAATCGTGTTATGACCGTTCCGTGGTCCTGACCGTGGTCGTAAGTCGAGCACTGCCTGTATTATCCTAGTCACCTTAGCCCAGAAAGGTGTTTGGCATTTTTGAGAGCCTTCCTTGGGTTTCACAGCTGCAACCTTCTCCACCTCCCCTTTCAGCGGTGACTTCCACAGTAAAGCAAGCCCTACAGGAGTCCCTGGTGCAGATTCTGCAGCCACAGCGTCGTGTAGACATGCTCCGGGACATCATGGATGCCCAGCGTCGCCAGCGCCCTTATGTCGTCACCTTCTGCGGCGTTAATGGAGTGGGGAAATCTACTAATCTTGCCAAGGTCAGTGCAGCTCCCCAGCCTGTCACTGATATTTCTGTATTTCTCATCTCTCAAAATCCTGGCTTTAGGTGACTTTTCTCACTTCTTTTTCACAGATTTCCTTCTGGTTGTTAGAGAATGGCTTCAGTGTCCTCATTGCTGCCTGTGACACATTTCGTGCCGGGGCTGTGGAGCAGCTGCGTACGCATACCCGGCGTTTGAGTGCCCTACACCCTCCTGAGAAGCATGCTGGCCGCACCATGGTGCAGTTGTTTGAAAAGGGCTATGGCAAGGATGCTGCTGGCATCGCCATGGAAGCCATTGCCTTTGGTACAGTGCATGGGAAGTTTGGGGGCTTATTTGGGGTCCCTTTTTCTCCTTGGATTCTCTGGGAACTTGGAGAGGATCAGGCTTGTGCTCCTACAGACTCGTTGCTCAATTACAGGAAAAAGATCAGTTACTTGCCATGCTCTGCTTTTGGGTAGTGTGTGTAGTGCAGGCAAAGCTAATATGCCACAACCAAAGAAACCTGAATTTGGTCACCTTTATCCTGTTGCCTTCCTTTTCCTGAGTATGTTTGGTGATGGCCAAGCATACAATCAAGTTTTTCTCACATTACCTTGGAACCAAATCCAGAGCCCAAGACCGTGAACAGGTAGACTTAATAGAGCCAAACTAGGACTTTTTGAGAGGGGCAGTCCAGGTGTTCAGAGTTGACCACTTTCTTTCTCTAGCACGTAACCAAGGCTTTGATGTGGTGCTGGTGGATACGGCGGGCCGCATGCAAGACAATGCCCCTCTGATGACTGCCCTGGCCAAACTCATTACTGTCAATACACCTGACTTGGTGCTGTTTGTAGGAGAAGCCTTAGTAGGCAATGAAGCCGTGGACCAGCTGGTGAGAGTGTGGGCCCAGTTCCTTTTACAACCTAATAAGCTTTGGTCAATTTACATGGTTTGTATACTTCTATCACCTTTCTTCT